TAAATCATCATACTTGCTTTTGCATATGTGGTCCTCGAATATCTACATATTACGTTCGTGAGGCGACTGTATATTTTATCTTTAATTTCGAACTTCTTTCTTTGTTTGTAGTTAAGCACAATGCTATACAATGGGTTATCTGTGCTTTGCCCACCAAGAAAGTATCAATTCTTCTGCTCTAGTAAAGATTGCTCATGCTCATGACTGTAAGCTTATATCACTTTTATTCTGTGTCTAACTTCATTGGGGAAGGTCGAGCCCATCTTACAGAGAGGTGGAGCAGATAATTGTACAAACTGGTGTGAGTTAGGGATTTTCTATAATATATATGTTATTTGTAACAGCTGATGATGAATATAATTTGGTATGCAACACTTTAATTAGGGTGCTAAATCAGAATTCTTTTTTGTCCTGTGTAGATGTGTGTTACTTGGCAACTCACATAGTATGCTCGTAATCTTATAATATGGCTACTAGTGTATTGTTAGCTCATTAGTATCGAAAGCTGGTTTTTGCATTGTAAGCCTGCAGACATACCTTTGAGCCACTGGAGGCTTCGAACTTGGAATACCACAGGTGTGGGAAGTTTGTCAGTTGGATTTTGAGGCTTGGTTAGTGCATTTTAAAACTATCATAGGTAGACTAAACATGAGCTCAGTGCTCTTTCTCAGTCTTATGGAGGATTATTCCATCTAGGCAACTAATGGGAAAAAATATGAGGCTAATTCCGAATTTCGTAGATTTCAAATATTTTCACAATGTAGTTGACCAAATAAATGTTGGTTTAAAATTGTCACTTTAGATCTGCTAGAGTTTTCTTTTATTTCTTTTTTATTATATACTGCAGTTTCTATAAATTTTTCTGAGTTCATCTATAACAGTTACGTTTTCACACAGTTAGGGTAATTAAACATTATTTAAGAATACTAGTTTCTTCTTTTTTTCAGTTCAGTTTGGTTTGAATTTCGCCCAAAGCTACATGAAGGCTATCTGTACTAACTGTTCCTAATTTCTCAGTGAAAGATTAGAGGGAATGCAGCTAATCATCACCACCCACCTCCAACTCCTGGGCTACTCTTTTATCAATGAATAGTGGGACTGACTGTCACATTATAATGCTCACATGACTGGGATTCAAACCTGTGACCCACAGATTGTGAGTCGAATTCCCTAATCACGAAGCCATGCCAAGCCCGTTAGTTTTAGAAACATAGAACTTTGGGTGTGATTTTCTGAATAGTTATAGTAACGTATTGAAACCAAAATGCCTTGAGTTTCTGTACAAACCTTTAGTGTGGATTTTATTTTCAAGTGAAAGGTTGTTATGAGCTTAGAAATGTTTCATGAAGTCTAACTTATGAAACTATATACCAAAAATATGTCATAAATATATCTTGGCTAAGTTTGGGAATAAGACTTATTAGGTTTTTTTCTCTTCACTAGAACATTGGTTTCGAAAACACGCATAAATAAAACAGCAAAAATAATGGCAATTTTCCAGGCAATAACCTAAAGTCATTTATACACGTTTTCTGCTAAAAACCAAAGTAACCATTCTTAAATATCAATGTTAAACACTACCGAAAAGGTAAAGAAAAAAAAAGATAGATGAAATAAACTAATATGGGTAATTTGACTTGAAGTAAATCTGAAACTTTATGAAAAAAAATCCCAAACATATAGAAGGGCATACATTTGAAATGAAGACAAAAGAAAGGTAGATAATGAAAATAGTGTTGAATTTTTATTTGTTTTAAAAAGTTATAATGCTTGGTATTATGCTCAAGACTGGTATGGCTCAGTTATAATTAAAAACTATCAATTTGAGTTGCATATACAAATTCATGG